AAGAATGTTTGTGGGGTTTTTTTCCCTGTAAATAAATTGATAAAGTTTATGGTTTGCTCTGTATTTTATCATAGGAGGGTGTCTTGTTAGGCTTAACTATAACAGAACACACTCAGATGATTCATATCTTTTTAACATTGAAATACCATCCAATATATTAATATAACAGAGAGGATATATGTGTACGTCATCTCTCTGTCTCAGTAATCATAAGCCCTGTGCATGCTCTACATTTATTACAGCCTACATCATTCTCGAGATGATCCATCTGCCCCAAGGGAGTTTGCCATTTCCATTTCTGCGTGTCCTGCTGCCACCGCATGGCCCCAAGCTCAACCTTCATCTTTTCTGCTGAAAAAGGGGAGAAAACCAGCGCCGAAGCTTTCATCCATGCAGAGCAAGCAGCTAAAAGTACTAAATGCTTTCATTTTTAGAGTCATAAAAATCTTGGGAAATTCAAGTTAATTAAACTTTGTATTAATTAATAGCTTGTGCAGGACAAAAATCCTATCTAAAGTTATACATAGTCCTTTAGTTAGGGGCATGATACCGTGTTCCCAGCCCACGCGAAGGTGCTGGTCCTGGTAACCCACACTAAGGGTTACCCAACAGTTGGTTTTTTTGAAGTGCAAAGCAACTAGGTCCATACTGCCAAGGAGCCTTGGGGGGCCTATGCACTCAGACACCCTCAAATTACTGTGCTGGAAGGTATTAAGCTGCAGAAACACTGGTTTTAGCTTATAGGAAAATAGTGCAAATTAATCTTGTCTGCTGCAAAACCAGTTGGGTTGGACAGAGGCACATCGATATGTTTTTACAGAGATGGAACGAGCCCTAGGTCAGAGAAGCCTTGGCTTTGAAGATGCCGCGCTAGGTCTCGGCCCAGGCTGAAGCAGGACAGCTGAGATGCGAGGACCAGTGACAATTATTGCTTCTCACACCCTGCTGACAGCTAGTCTTCCAGGTCACTGAGTCAAATTCATCGTCTACTTTCTTTCTTCTCCTTTTAGCCACTAATTCTGTATCATTGTTAAGATCAGGTCAGATCTATATTGGGTCTTATATGCGTGGCCACAGACCAGTCAACGGGAGGCCTGCAGAGAACCAGATCAGTGCATAGGGAACGAGCCATGAGCTGGGTCTCATGGCTGCCAGCGTCAGGAATTACCGGGATTTACAGGTTGACAGAACACGGCTATTCTTGTGCTCTTCTGCAGCAGCAAACCAGCACGGCCCCGCTGACCTGAATATCATCCTGAGATTTCTCTTGGTTCCTCGGTGCATGTTTGGTTTAGATCTGGCTGTTGATGATTTCTTCCTGACCTCAAAAAGTTCTCTACGCCTCAGTTGGTATTTTTTGGCCTGTTCCAAGACAGACCAGGTTCACTGAGTCCCTGGAATTTATTTCCTGGGGAAGAGGTTTCTTGCTTTCCAATTTAGGTGCTGGAGGAAGAAATAACGATAGAATAGAAACAAACGGAGGCTCTGCAGATGTGCGTTAACTAAGCAGCAGTGCTTTAGACTGCATGTACCTTTCACTGGGATATTATTGTTGGGACAAGCTAATAAATCTTATACACAGCTACCCACCAACCCTGGTCTGGGGGATTTGATTGCATATATGCGAATATCTAATTTAAGCTGCCAATAACCAAATAACTGCATGTCATTAGTAGCAGAGCCAGGATCCCCACATTAACCAGAAGCCTTTTTATCAGTGGATGACCACTGCCCCTTCTCAAGAGATAAAAGGGAAACCCTCTTAAAACTTCCCACTGGATAGGGGTGCCAGGTTTGAAGCTGTGTGGAGAAAGCTAATTGCATTTCACAGAGCTCTTAAACATTTGGTTTTGCTCACATGAGGAGCAAGAGCTGAACATCATTGCCAAGTCAGTTGCAAAGTCCAGCCGTGCTCGGATTTGGGGTAAGAGCAGCGAGAGGATTGATCTGGTGGATGTAGGGACGCGGCAACCAAGGGCTGCTGGCTCTTTCTGAGCCCTTCCCACGATCTGCTGCGATCTCACGCACAGCATCTCTGCGACACAGTAAAACCCAACCACCACCACCGCACGTTTCACTGCCATTTCCCCAGCCAGCTCTAACACTCCCCATTCAGTTACCGGTGCGGGGCTGCCACTTACAGCTGTACTTTCCCTCCCCTCCTCCATCGCTGTTAGGAGGGTCCAAGTAGAAACCCATCGGAGGGCCGAGGGCTATGCCAATACTTCCAGCTTCTTCTGCTCGCATTTCATCAGTGACCTCTGCAACGCGGAGCCAGGACTTTTCAGGCAAATGTCTCTGCTTTGCCAAATACTGTTTTAAACAGACAACTGCCCTGAGAAGAGGCTCGCTTTTCTCTGAAGGAAATTACACCGTGGACCATTGACTCCTCTTTACCATCACCATCTTCTTCCAAGGAACCACGGGACCTTATCTCCAGCTCTGCTACCGTACATCTCACTCCTACGCAGGACTACCATCAGCCTACAGCCGCACCGATTTCAGAGCTCAGCCAGTTTTTACCTGTTGAAGGCACCAGCCAAGGTACCCAGTTACACAGAACACGTACCGCCTTGAGACACAGATGCACCTAGTGAAACAACAACATTTTGTCTTTATTAGGAGTTCCCATGGTAATATAACACAGAGTTCTTAAGGAATAAAACACAAGACTTGGGGTTGGGGTGGGGATTTTTGCCATTGAGACAATGGTCAAATATCAGTACTTCTTTTTGTCTACACACATGATCAGCTTTAGCACTTACAGCTCCTCCACTCATGGTTCACAATCACAAATCCAAGGGTTAAATCCAGCTAGTATTAAATCCTACTTTTTTTTTTTTTATTTTTAGAGCTTCAAGTCACTGCGGTTAATTAATTAAGTCATCGTCTTTTTTTTTTCTTTAAGCATTTACATATGACATTCATTAAACAGACACAAAGCGGACGAGCTCTCACAGGAAAAAACATGCTCACATAGCCTGCAAAATCTTTTTTTTGTGATTTTTTTTTTCCTTTTGAAGAACAAATTAAAACTAAAAAGTCATCATGAGTCAGTGAAGGAAAAAAAAAAGGAAGACTTAAGTGAATACTGAAGAGCCGCAAGTGTTTCGTAAAATTGAAACGGATCTGCAATTCTTTTTTTTTTCTCCTCAACTCATTCAAATTGATTTTAACATATCGGTGAAAAAAAAAAAAAGAAGAAAATAGCTGCAATATATATTAAGTTCATGGATTACTTAACAAACAAAGTGCAAACTCTTTTATGCAAAACTCAAAGACCCAAGAGTTGAACCTAAATGTAAAATGCATGGATGAACATGGCAATGTTTTTCTTAACTTCTGTGTTCAAAGGGGCTTAAAGGAACTAGGTGCTGAAGCCGGGAGGGTTTGGGTACCTAAGTAGCTTCCAGATCCTTTGCAAATCCCAGCATTGATACTTCTTAACAACAAATTTGGTACTTGTTTCTTAAAAGCCTTCATATATATAGTTTTTTCCCTAAAAGAACCTGTAAACACCATTTAAGAAAATACTCACAAATACGGAAAAAACAAGGTGAATGTACGTGGCAAAGCACAAATAGAAGAGATAGCAGAAGATGCAGCCGAGTGCCAGGGCATACGGACAGCGGAGGTAATGCGGTGTTAACTGCGGGTAGAAAAGCTCTCTGTGCTAAAAGACAGGCCAAGTCCTCGGGACCGCTGAGCCCTCCAGCTCAGTTCGAGTGGGAATCTAATGGTGCGGATTTCTTCTCCATATCCTGAAAATAAGAAGCCTCTAATACTAGGACTAGAAGACCTCCAGTCCCAGAAGACAGTTAAATGCCCAGATCCCACTGACTACCACAGAAGCTGGGGCTCCTAAATTCACTTAAGGACCGCTCATGGCCTCTGGTTTCTCAAATCTGAGGCAGCAGGCATCTGAGGAAGGGTGGGGAACCACCAGGCCTTCTCATGAATATTTGCACAAGGCAGATTCCTGAAGGAACGAGCGACTGTGAAACTTGCACCACGTATGAGAGATTCTCAGCTGCTGTTGACCCATCGAGCTGCTCTGAGGCTCCCAGTTACAACAGCTGGGCATCTGGACTCGAATTGGAATTGCCACAGATGCTCAGGCACACACTCAACCGGTCAGGCCTTTCCACAGGAGCTAAAGATAAGCTCTCAAAGTTTTAAATAACCTCTCATCAATGGCCAGGAAGGGGGAACATGGCTGCTGCAGAAATCTTTCAAGCAACATGTTGCTCTTTGCCCATGGTCCCCTGCTTATCGACTTCCACCTCCAGGAACAGAAGACAAACTAACTGCTAAAAACTTCTCAAGATGCTCCATCCCAGCTCCTCAGCCGGTACCCAGCCCCTTTGTTTGCACCAGCTCAAGACCTAGTACACTGAAGTGAAGATCATAGCTTATGAACCTGCTCCGCAACCTCCTATTGCAGCTAAGTGGCAAGCGTTGGCTGGAATGATGCAGCCTAGGAATACCTGAAGTACCGGGGTGGCAGTGGCAGTGACACTGGCGGGACTCTGTAACTTGAATGAGGTTCGGGAAGGACCGGGAAGAACGGGGAGATCCCCAGTTCTCAGATAAGGCTTCGTAAACACAATGATACAAACATATTAAAAACACACACAAACACAAAAAAAAAGTTTCCTCAAGGACCTAATTTGCAGCAAAATCCAGAAGGAAAAAAAAAAAAAAAAAAAAAGACCAAACCAACAGAACCAAAGTCCCCAACGATTCTAGCTCACCCGATGGCTGGGTGCGATGCGCTTTGTCAATTCCTAGTGCTGGGTCCTGTTTCTCTCTCTTGGCAGCAGACAGCTATTCAGTGACCTCAAAGGCAGTGGTGGGGAATGGTTACAGACAGGTTGGGATTCGTGTCCCTCCGTGCTTGCCTAGCTATTCTGCTGGAACACAGAACCCTACAGAATATCCAGTTTAACACCCTTGAACTACTCTTCTGCTTGACATTAAAAAAAAAAAAAAAAAAGCTATTTTTTACATTTATTATTTATTTATTCCTTTTTTTGTGTGTGTCTTAAAGGCAGCTCCCGGGAAATTCACTTTATCCTTCCTTTATTAAAAGAAAGATGCTGAATGGGACAGAGGCCACATATCTCAAACATCCTCTTTACATTTACTTTTGCATGTCAGAGGTGTCAAAACAGGGTTTATTTCTTTAAATGTGTAGGGGCCGAGGGGGGAAGTGAGAGGGGTTGGTGAAGATGAGGAGGGAATCTGAGGGGACTGTAAGAGGCGCCTTACTTCAGCCCCCCCTCACTGGTTGCCCGCAGTAACTGTCACAGGCTCTAAAAGAATCAAAAACGGTCTCCAGGTGCCCCCGTCCCCCGGTCCGCTAGGCGGGCACAGAAGGGGTCGGTCCTTAGCCCAAGCTGGTGATGTTGGCACGTCCGCCCGGCGGTGCCACGATGCGCTGAGTCGTGCGGCGTGGGATGTTGTCATCGATCTGTGCCCCTGCGGGAGAGAGAAGCAAGGTCAGGGTCCCCTTGGCCAGCCAGAGGTTGAGATGAGCGAGCTGCAGGACAAGGGAGCTGGGAGAGCAC